TCTGGAGCTTGTCTTAACATGATGTCCAAGGCAATTGCTTTGAGACTTGGTATTAGACACCTGCGCAGGACTAGAGCAAAGATTAGCCTAGCTGATGATTCAAATGTAACACCTCAAGGAATAGCTCATGAAATTCCTTTGAGAATAGGAGATTGCATAGTGCCTGTCGACTTCTACGTTTTCGAAACGAGAGATGCAACATATCCAATGATTCTCGGATGGTCTTTTCTAGCAACTTCCGGAGCTATAATGGACTGGCCAAACCGGAGGATTTCATTTGCTAATATCGACAAAGATGTCTTCACAGAAGCTGTTCCATACAACAGCAAAGCAAGAAAACATTCTGCAGCAGAAGAATTTGAAGAAGAGCTTTGGAGTGACGAAGAACCTGCTAAGCAAAGCAAGGAGATGTCGAAAAAGATTTGTCTCAGGACAAGGTCTTCGTCATTGGAATAAGTCACGTCCAATACCAAAAGTGGAGCTAAACGACTTAAAACAAAAGCGCTTAATGGGAGGCAACCCATTTAGGTATTGTTTTCTTTAGAATTTTTCTTTCTTTTTCTTTTGATCTTTTTCTTTTTCTTAGTTTCAGGTGTTTCTTATAAAACAAAAAAGAACCAAAAAAATCAAAAAACCAGAAAAAAAACCAAAAAGAAGGATGGTACCTGACTGCTCGGCCCAGCAGGAACCAAGGAGAAGCAGGAAGAGGCCGCGATATAAGCCCCCGCGGTCGCAGGTGTCCGGACCGCGGGAAACCTACCGTCGGCCGCGGTCGCGTAGTCCTGACCGCGGCCAAGTGCTTGTTTGCCGCGGTCGTGCAGCCCCTGACTGCGGCATCTGGTCGTTGACATCAAACCCGACCCAAACCACCCCTTTCACCTTATTTCACCTCACCAATCACCCTCCACCTCATTCATCACCCTCCACCACCTTCATCACCACCTAATCACCTTCCCAAACCCCTTCGAATGAATCCGGTTCATCTCCACCAGCATCCCGGATCCAGGTAAGTTCTCTTTGTCCTTACCAATTCGATTATTTATGCATTTTTCTCATCCAATCTCGACTTGTTTCACACTGAGGACAGTGTGATTTAAGTCTGGGGGAGGATTTCTTTCTAACCACCTTTCTTTCATGAGTCTTGCATTATCTACACTTTTTGCATTTTTCTTAAAGTTTTTCAAAATCGGTTTTCAAAACAAAATACGTTTTAAAGGGAATGGTGAACATGAATCAATGATAGTTGACTGTGTGCTTTAGACTGTTCCTAGTGACTTGCTCATTCATGATTTAGGACTAGACTAGGCGGTAGCTAAGCACATTTGAAACGAAGTACCCCAGAGGAATTTGAATGATTTCGATTTAGATGAAGGGATACACTAGCTCTGTTTTATTTGGACTTAATTTGGAATTAATTTTCTCATTGAAGCATTAGACCAGGGAAACGAATCATACATTCAGGACTCCTTTATCCTTTTACCACTCTCTGTTGATCCTGAATGGCTAGTTCATCTTTAGCTAGTTCCCCACCTTAACCAATCCTCTTTCAAACCACATGCACTCTTGTTTTCTATTGTCTTATATGCAGATAAGTGCAAAAACGTTGGAGAGAAAGAGGAACGACGCAGTTTTCAGTCACCAAGGACAGAGTCCTGCGATTTGCCGGAAAAGTTCCCGGAAGGATTCAACACAAGAGAAACTCAGTTTGCCTTAGAAAAATCTCAAACTTTGGTACAATCTCGTCCTCTAGTCTCTCTCTCTTTAAAAGGCATTTCCTTTCCAAAAAAAAAAAAAAAATCCAAAAATAAGAAAAGAAAGAAAATAAAAGCTTTAGAGAGTCTAGAGAGGTCGAATTTTAAGTCCCAAGGCAAATGGAGTTCGATTTTATGGAGTTTTGGAGATTGTTTTCTGATTCCCAGAAAGAATCTAAGTCTGGGGGAACAGCTGTTTACAACAAAGGAGGAAGGATTATGCAACAACATTTAGCAAGAAGAAGTGACTGAAAACTATGGTCATCAACAGGTCCTTATCTCTCTTTCTGTTTTGCATATTATCTTGCATCCTCCAGATCTTCAGGTAACCCGAAACACTTTAACTCCACCACTTAAATAGCCCTTTAATGCCAAACGCCGGGATGATGTCTTTAATGAGAACTCACTATTGAACTTAATGAATGTAGAGAGCTAGTTGACTGAAATCAAGATTTAAATTGTTTAAGTTTTGCATGACGGAAAAAGTCGACTAGTATCTCTTGTGCATTAGTTAGAATTTTCTAGACTAAGTTGTGGATTGATGCACTATCTTTGGTCCTAGTCTATAGTTCATGTCTATGAGATTTGTGCATTCCCTATTTTTGTTTTCACTTAACCAGTTTAGGCTTTTGCTTTGTTTGAGGACAAACAAAGGTTTAAGTATGGGGGAGTTGATAACACCGTATTTTGACCACTTTTATGGATCGTTTTGAAATAATTTTTCTATGTTTTTTATTGCTTTTAAGTACTTTTATTATGTTTTTCTAGTATTTGTAGTTCCAAGACTCTTTTCAGGTAACTTAGGGAAAAGCTTAACAAAATGGATAGAAAACCAGATTTCAGCTCAGAGTCAAACCGTCAGAAGTTCACCCCTGATTGAAGGCCTTCTCACCGTCTGATCCAGCTCAAATCTGGAGACCTTAAAGATGGAAGTATCAGCTTTCCAGTGCATTTTACAGATTGGCAATCCAACGGTTCAATCAAAAGATACGCGAAGAGCAAGATGTCCTGTAAACCAGCCGGCAAGCACTTCCACCCGCGGCCAACAAGCAATTTCCCACGGTCAGGAGCATCCCGACCGCGGCAAACCACCCATTCCCTGCGGTCAGAGCACTCTCGACCGCGGCCATCAACCTCCGAGCCCAAAAAGCCCATTTCTGAAGCCCACATTTGGAGAAACCCTAAGTGACATCCAGAGAGGTCTTGAACACTATAAATACATGTCTTAGGAGCCCTAGAAATCGTGTAACCTTAGAGAACCGAATTATTTACTTCATACTTTCATTGTTTTTGCATTAGCTTTTAGGGAGAGAGAAATTTGTTCTCTTGAACCCTTGTTCTTTCTTTTTCAATTTCGGTTTCTATTATACTTCTTAATACTATGTCTTTGATTTCGTTTATTATGTCTGAGTAGTTTTATTGTTGGGATTAAGGGATTTTCGATGGGGATTTATATGTTCGGTGAGGATTCCATTGGCTTTTGAGCTGAATCTTAGAACTTTTTCTTCTGAATTCGTTTTTACTGCATGAGAGTAGCGTCATGAACTACAATCTGATCCAGATGCTTGGTGACACGAAAGTGTTCATCAGGTATCAGATCTAGTTTGTGAATTAGGACGAGTCTTAAACATAATGCATCTCTTCTCTTCCAGGGCCAGAGTGGAAACCTACTGGTCAGGGTTGAGAGAGATAGTTGTCTATGATCACGACAGTGGCGTATTCATACGTCCGTGACTCCAGTTTGAAAAGTTTAAGCTAAGATCTTATCAAATTTCCTCTCTAGCAATGTTTTGAATCGTTCGTACCCCTGAGAAAACTTCCCTGAACCCAACGCCTTCTTCCTTATTGATTTACACCGATTTTTCTTTAAAGCTTTAGTTCAATATTGTCTTTCCTTTTTAGTTCATTTTCATTTAAGCATTAGAATATCCGTTTTTATCATTTTTAGTTATTTTCGTTAAGTTTAGTTATTACGCCATTTAATTCCCGTATTTTCTTTTAAGATTTCGTCTTTACATTTTAAACACACTACCAAACCCCCACAAAACCGTTTTTGTTCTAGACTTCCTTACTTTATACTTATTTCAAAGGTTTTTTGCAGCAAAAGATCCTCCTTCCCCGTGGATTCGATCCCTAAGTACGACAATTGATCAGCTGTGCACTTGCGGCTATTGATTTTAATTAGGGTAAAACTTGACACCCACAACAAGTCACCACCATCACTCTCCTTGGCGGCGGCTCCTTCTTCTGATGCGGCGGCCTCCTCTAGGGTTTCAGCCGAAATCCCTCTCTCTCTCTCTCTAAGTTGTCTAAGTTTCGATCTCCACTCTTTAGAATGACCTAAAGGGGGTATTTATAGCTTCTAGGGTGGTTCTGGACACTTAGGGCTTCAAAAATAACGAGAGGAATTGATCTGGGCTTTAATTAAGTCGTCGGGAAAGTGAACGACCAAAATCTGCGGTCGCGGTGGCTCTACCCGCGGGAAAATGGGTGTTTGCCGCGGTCCCGGCACTTGCTCTCTTCCGGAACTGCATTTTCTGTCATTCTTGCATCGGGAGTATCTGAAGATCTAACCGTTGGATTGTCTCCAAACCAAGTGCATTAGAAAGCTGGTTGGATCCTCTATGTTGTCTCAAATATTGGGGGTGATCAGACGGTGAGAAGGTCTTCATCGCGTGTCATACTTCTGACGGTCTGCATTTATCCAAAATTGCTCATTTGTTCCAAATTGCATATCTTTTGCCCAAGTTTCCTGTAAAGTCTTTTGAAACTCTAAAACATTGAAAACACTTTAAAAACTTTGACAACAGAGTTAAAACACCTGCATAAGATACAATTGTGATCCATAAAAGTGGTCAAAATACGGTGTTATCACCTATCTCGGACAGCACTTGGGTTAGTCCTGTACATGTTGTCACAAAAAAGGGAGAAGTAACTGTTGTTAAAAATGACAAGGATGAAAGATCGCTACATGAACAGTAACGGGACATCGAATGTGCATCGAGCATCGAAAACTGAATGCAGCAACTCAGAATGATCATTTTCCTTTGCTTTTTATTAATCAAATGCTAGAAAGATTAGCATCAGGAATACTACTGCTTTTTAGACGGTTATTCCGAATTTTTCCAAATTCCTATTAGACCAGAAAATCAAGAAAATATGACATTCACCTGTCCATACGGAACTTTTTCCTACCAGCGAATGCCTTTCAGATTGTGTAATGCACCTGCAAGCTTTCAGCGGTGCATGATGTATATTTTCACTGACTTCATCGAAGATTTCATGGAAGTCTTCATGGATGATTTCTCTGTATATGAATCCTCTTTCGACAAATGCTTGGAAAACTTAAGGAAAGTTTTGCAGCGTTGTGAAGACAAGCATCTTTTCCTGAACCGGAAAAAATGTCACTTCATGGTCCGCGAAGGAATTGTGCTTGGACATAAAATATCTGGGAAAGGTTTTGAAGTTGATAAAGCAAAACTTGAAGTCATGATTAGCCTACAACCTCTAACTAATGTGAAGAGAATCCGAAGTTTCTTGGGACATGCCGAATTTTATAGGCGATTCATAAAAGGCTTCTCTGAGATTGCTAGACCTCTTACACGTCTGCTCTGCAAGGAAACGAACTTCGATTTCGATGAAGAGTGCTTGGCAGCGTTTCATAAGATCAAAGACGCTCTTGTTTCTGCTCCAGTTGTGCAGCCGCCCGATTGGGAACAACCATTCGAAATCATGTGTGATGCAAGTGATTTTGCTGTCGGATCTGTTCTTGGTCAGCGGAAATAAAAGAAACTGCATGCAATCTACTATGCGAGTAGAACTCTAGATGAAGCTCAATACAATTATGTGACTACGGAGAAGGAGTTTTTAGCTGTCGTTTTTGCATTTGAAAAGTTTTGATCTTATCTCATGGGGTGTAAGGTCATTGTTCATACTGAACATGCTGCAATCAAGTATCTCATGTCTAAGAAAAATGCCAAACCAACGCTGATCAGAAGGATAATCCTTCTGCAAGAGTTTGATATAAAATTCGAGATCGGAAAGGAGCTGACTATGGAGTAGCAGATCATCTTTCTGGAATTCAAGTGGAAGAGAAACTTCCTTTGAATGATAGTTTGCCAGAAGATAATTTCTATGATATGGATACTATACCTATTACTGTGCAAGAAAAGCCATTGTGTGAGCTAAATCTCGCACAACCAGAAATTTGTTTAAAGAAAACTAAGGGATCGGAAACTTCTAGGGTTTATCGTCAAGAACAGAAAGATCGAAAGAAAGTTTTTCTTGCTGTAAAAGTATTTAGCTCTTATTGCTTAAGGTTGCAAAAAGTTACAGAATGAATTGTGTACATCATCTATTTATACTAATTCTCTGAACCGCCTAGCCGAGAATCTCGGGAGAGATTTTCGGAATATTTCCTTATCGCCTCGTGCGGCTCACCGCCTTTGTATTTCGCCTAGGGTTTTTATGGGCTTCGTCTCTCAAGGCCTTGGTTCGGCTCATCTGAACTTCTCCACGGCTCGGCCCATCTAAACTTCTCCACGGCTCGGCCCATCTAAACTTCTCCACGGCCCGGCACACTTGCCATTTGAGTCGAGACGTGATCTGGTCCACCTCACGAGGCGCGGCTCGGCCCAGGAGTGTTGGAGAGGGGCTTGGCCCATTTCTTGCGATACGGCTCGGCCCATCTCTCTTTCCTCACGGCTCTCCCTACTGGTCTATCTTCACGGCTCTCCCACTTGGTGAGAACGGCTCTCCCACTTGGCGAGAACGGCGTCTCTCACTTGTCTTAGTGAGAACGGCTCTCCCGCTTGTCTTTCTTCCATACTTAGTCATTTTGAGATGGTTTTATCTGTGTGGAGTGAAACCGACCCCAACAGTTAGCCCCCCAGCTCGTCAGTTTCGGAGGCGAGAGTGACGAGGTCCATTACTCCTGACCGTAGGATAAACCATCGAGTCAAGCTGTTATGACGTAAGCCCAGATGAGGTGTTTTGGGAAAGAAGACGCCGAGGCGTTTCCAAGGAGTGCCGAGGTGTTTCAAAAGGGTACCGAAGATGCCGGGGCAAGTTTAAGGACGAGGCGATTTTGTTTGGTAATGATGAGCCGAGGCGATTTGAGAAGGTTATGCCGAGCCGAATAAATGGCGAGGCATTTTGAGAGAAAGTTTGTGCCGAGCCGTTTTGTTAACGACGAGGCGTTTTGAGAGAAAAAGTTAATGTCGAGCCATTTCGTTAATGACGAGGCATTTCAAGAGAAAGAGTTAATGCCGTGCCATTTCGTTAACGACGAGGCGTTTCAAGAGAAAGAGTTAATGCCGTGCCGTTTCGTTAACGACGAGGCATTTACTTTGGTAAGATACCGGATGAAAACTTGGATATCCCAACTGTTGGTCTTCCGAGAGAAGATTCCTGATTTATTGGCGCGTGCGACCGATGCAGTTCGATCTAGCCATTTCACTGCGGATTCCACGCGCTGTTTGGAAGGTTTCCCGAGGTTTACGCGGAATTCACGCGCTTTGGTTTTCCTATAAATGGTTGAGCTCCTTCATTCTTCCTCATTATCTTCAGACTCACTCGTTTTTACTAAAGGTAGCTCTCCCTTCTCTCTTCTTTCTCTCTCTAATTTATTTATTTTCCGGCTAGGGTTTCCGAGGTCTCCGCCGTTCCAGATCTTTTTCCGGTAGAGGCTCGCCGAGTCGTGCTGTAACTCTTGTACAAGTCGTAAATTATGTCGAGCTGCTCGACGATTCGTTGGATTCACTTTTTCATTACGAACCGAGCCGCGTAGATGCCAAGGCGAGAGGTACGGCAGAATCCTCCGAGGCGTCTGTTTCGCCGAGCCCCTCCAATCGTTCATCTGACGAAGCGTCAAACCATGCAAACCCATCAGATGTCGGCTCTCCAGATGGCGAGCCGTCGGTTTCGACGAGCCGTCCCCAGGATCCTGTTCCTGATGAAGACATTAATCACGCCGCACTTAAGGCCGAGGAGGAGGCATTTCCCTTTGACCTTTTTGAGGCGAAGCGTGAATTGGAACGTCTCATGGCGTCCCGAGGCGCTTCCACATCTGGGCGAGGGCCAAGAGTTAAGAGACAAAAACCTGACCCGCCTGGCTCCACGCTTTGCTCCCTTGAGTCGCTCGAGCCGTTGAGGCATCGCTTCGAGATATCCGAGGCGGTGGAATTCGTCGTTCCAGAGAAAAGCGACCGAGCCGACAAGCCTCCAGAGAATCATTTCACTCTGTACGAGGCGTTCTTCGAGCTTTGCTTCCTCTAGTTCCCGATCCCCTGAGTGATCCTCGAATATCTCTGGAAACACGGGATCTCGATTGGGCAAATCATGCCGAGGGGATTACGGCATATGATTGTCATCTTAGTTCGAAGCTTCGAGTGCGGAGTTGATATCGAGCTGAATCACCTGCTGAACTTGCTGGAAATCAGGAAAGCTCAGAAGGGAAATAGATTCTATATTTCCAACAAGGCGAAGCGACGGATCATCGGCGGTTTTCCCAGCAAGGACCAGTGTTTTGGTGAACGAGGCGTCGGTCGGCGAGAATTACGTTCAAAGAACCAAGACCGCTTGGGGACCACTTGGTAGTCGACCCGAAGCTTTGCCTCGGCTCGGAACTATTTTTGGTATCCTCTTCCTTTTCTGAAAATTTTTTCTTTTTTGCTTTGTTTTGCAGTTCGGTGCTTTCTTCCCCCGATTCCCGACGACCTCTTTACTGTTCGAGACTCTCTTTCGGCGCGGAAGGTTAATTGGAGGAAGAATGTCACCCTCAAAAGAGTGGAAAAAGCGCGAGCCATCCTTGCCGGAGTCCCCGTCAGCTCCTCGTCCTCTAGTTCTTCAAGGGATACCCGAGAGAAGATGGTGATAATCGCTCTTAGAGAAGGAAAAGGCGCGAGGCAGAAGAGGCCGCGAGACGAGCAGCCAAGGCGGCTCAGGCGCAGACCGAGGTGGTTCCAGCGCAAACCGAGGCCATCCCTTAACCCGACCCACCGAGCCGGGAAGGAGACGAAATGACCCGAGCCGCAGAAGGCAACACGACCGAGGTGGTCGAGTGAAATGCAGCGCCCGAGGTGGAACCGGGTGAAATTGTTCCCGAGGCATCCGGGGATGATTCGGCGGTGCAGAGCAAAACTCCTTCGAACTCCGCCATTTTAGCCCTCCCGAAGTCGACAAGGCCACCGACTTCAATTGTTCAGAAACACGACCCGAGCCGAAAACGTTCGGCCGCTGACAAGGGGAAGGGCGTTGATGTTCAGAAAGACGAGCCATCCAAGAAGAGGCGGAAGCCGACGCCCGGGGACCCCGCCGTGTGCAAGTTGGTCGTCGACGACCCCGACATCTCCACCGTCATGTTCTCGTGTGTAAATAACGCAAACACGCGTCATCCTCCTCTGGAGAAGTTGAGGAGGCCGAGTTCGTATGGCGCGATGGCGCAGCGCGGTACCAAGGTACGTTCTATTTGCTTTCCTTTACTTTCGTAAATTTTTACTAAGTGATTAACGCGAGCTTGTTCTTTGCAGTTTGTCGCGGCCATTAACGACCTGATGGCCGAGTATGAGGCGGACCTGTCTAAGGTCGAACGTCGCTTGGCCGAGGACCGAAATGAGTCCGCAGCGTCAAAGGCGAAGCTAGAAGAGGCTCAGACCGAAGCCGCGGCGGCAAAGGGGAAACTGGACGAGGCGGTGGCCAGGGTGTCCAAGCTGGAAGAGGAGAAGATCGTTCTGCGCACCAATGTTGACAAGGTCTCCGCCTTGGTCATTCGCCTCGAGGAGGCGAGGAGGGCTAAAAGCGCCGAGGTGGCGATGCTGAAGAGGCGTATCGAGGCCAAGGACGCCTTGTTTGATGCGAAGGTTAAGAGGGCGAAAAAGGAGGCGAGGCGAGAGCTTACGGCGAAGTTTCAGGAACGCCTCGCCAAGGTGGAGGAGGGTTTGGTCAGGCTTGAGAAGGCCAAAAATGATGAGAACGATCTGGGGCAGATCAAGGGCAATCTTGCGATGATTGCCGACCTGAAGAAGTCGGACGCCCCGACGCTTGACGACGAGGAGGCGAAGCTGAAAAGCTGGGAGAGTGAGTATGCCGACGACGAGGCGTACGAGCGTATTGCTTCCGAGATTCGAGGCGAGCTGTATTACTCTCCCGTATCTCCTGACTCAGTCGACACCCCCTTGGCAACGAGCCGCTCGAAGAAACAGCGGCCAACTTAGGCGTCGTAGATCCAAACGGATCGAACGCAGGCACGCCGGTCCTCTCGAACCTCCTCGCCGAGCGTGAAACGCAGTCCACAGCCTGATACTCTCTGCTTTTCCCTGTTTTGTCTTTCACGCTTCTGTACTTAGGATTTTTATCTGTTTTCTGGGTTTACGTAACTCTTTTATGTAACCAGTGCCTGGACGGCTTTATCCACCCGACATTTATTTTTGCTTATGGATATATTCTTTTTTCCTTAGCCGTTTAACGATTTGTGCAAAATATCTGTGAAAACCGTTGGCTTAGAGAAAATTCGCGAGGATGAAAACTGCTGTGTCGAGAATGATTTTGATTGCTTCCTTAACCGAATTCTTCGAAATCGGTAGAAATATGGGCTAAGGGTTGAGTCGTTCAAGGATCTCGTTTGGATTCTTAATTCCGACCTGGGAGTTAGTTTCGTGGAACATCTTTTAGATGATGTTGGAAAAATTTTAAACGATAATGTTCCGGCAAATTTTTGCTGGCAATGCCGAACCGTGTACATGACGAGGCGTTTTCGCTTTGCATGGTGCCGGGCCGTGTAAACGGCGAGGCGTTTTTCTCATAGGGTTGTGCCGAGCCGTGTAAACGACGAGGCATTTTCTCTTTGCATGGTGCCGAGCCATGTAAACGACGAGGCGTTTTTTGCGTGGTGCCGAGGATGATTTTTTACTATGGACCGGCGTTTTCGAGAGGATGAGTATGTTTGTCCGGGTTTCAAGAGTTTACTTCGGTTTTAGAGAAAGCGATGTAGTCTCGACTTATAATCTCGTGTGCGATAGTAAACCATGGCGACCTGATACGTTTTTGGTCTGATATTTGTATTGCGCGCTTAATTTTTATCCGTAGAGGATGTAACTTGCACCCTCGTCCTAGGAAAAGTGGTAAAAGTCCGTTTAGAGAACTTTGTATTTGTTGCCCCGTTGTGGCCAGCAACGAGACGAGGCGTTCGGAGGCTTAGTTTGCCGAACTGAAACTGAGGACTGATTAAGGTCCGAGGTAATCAGGTCATGATGTCATGCCGAAGTGATGAGTGACATAATTTAAAAATCCGAGCTTGTTAAGATAAGTTGCTGATTTAGAGACTCTACAAAGAGGAAACTAGCCGAAGCGATAATAAACAAACTAGAAATCAAAGGTTAAAGTGAAATAAGTAGATGATTAAAAACAAAACTAGGAATGTGCCGAAGTGGCGATGTCCCTAAGTGAGCAATTTAAATTTGTAGAGTTAAAGGGGGTATGTGTATACGTACCCACCCCCCCCCCCCCTTTTTAGGAGGGGGGACAGCTGAACCCGTCCGAGGACGGGCTGCCTACGTACCTTTTGCAGGGATCAAGCCATCCCGTAGTTCATGCTGGTCGTGCTGTATCCTTAGTGATAGTATTTCTTCAGATGCATTGCGTTCCATGATCTTGGAATCGCCTCGTCAGCTAGTGTCGCGAGTTCGTAGACTCCTGGACGAACCACTTTTGTGACCTTGTAAGGACCTTCCCAATTTGCTCCGAGCTTTCCTGCATTCTTCTCGGCAGTGTTTTGGACGACCTTTCGGAGGACGAGCTCCCCTGCTTTGAATCTTCGACTACGAACGTTTTTTTTGTAGTATCTCGCCGTCGCTTGTTGATAGTTCTGGATTCGAATTAAGGCTTGGTCGCACTTTTCGTTGATTAGGTCGAGCTCATCTAGCATCATTAAGTGGTTCAAGCCCTCCTGTCCTGGTAGAAGTCTTCGTCGAATACTTAGAAAATCCACCTAGGGGGGAATTACGCACTCCGATCCGTAGACCAAAGCGAATGGAGTTTCCCTGGTGGCTCGACGCGGAGTTGTCCGATGAGACCAAAGGACTCCTTCGAGTTCGTCTGTCCACCGTCCCTTCTTGGCGTCGAGCCTCTTTTTCAGACCGTCGAGGATCGTCTTGTTGGCTGCTTCGGCTTGTCCGTTCCCTTGAGGGTATCTTGGCGTAGATTTGCTAAGGCGGATTTTCCACTTCTCGCAGAAGGCTTCGAAGCGTGTTGAGATGAACTGGGATCCATTGTCGGTGACTATCTCGTAGGGGACCCCGTGTCGGCAGATGATATTTTCCAGACGAAGTGTTCGACTTGAACATCCTTTATGCTTGCGTAGGAATCGGCTTCGACCCACTTGGAGAAGTAATCCGTGAGGACGAGCAGAAAACGCTTCTGCTTCGAGCGATGTAGAGGTCCGACGATGTCCATCGACCACATCATGAACGGATAAGGTGATGAAATTGACGAGAGCAACTCGGTAGGTTGATGAGTTGTTGGAGCGTGCCGCTGACACTTCTCGCACTTCCCTGTAAATTTCTCGCAGTCTTTGACCATCGTAGGCCAAAAGTAGCCGTGCCGTTTAATCTTGATAGCGAGCTACCTACCGCTGGAATGGTTCCCACACGCGCCGCTGTGCACCTCGTGCATGATTTTTCTTGCCTCCTGTCCTTCGACGCATGTCATGAGAGGCCCTGAAAATCTCCATTTAAACACCTCGCCATCGACGAGGACATACCGCGCAGCCTGAGCTTTTTGTTTGCGGGCTTCCCATTTATCGGTTGGCACCTCTCCATCGGCGATATACACTCGGATAGCTCCGAGCCATTCTTTGTCGCAGCCATACTCCGGCTCGGCCGGTGAGGCGTCTTCATTCATAGGAACGGCTTCGTCGTCCTCTGGTTCTTGTTCAGGAGGATTTATCAGCCGAACTCCTTCCACCTCTTCGATGCTAGGACGTTCGATGAATTCGACTGGGATCGTTCATCGGAGGTCTGGGTCCGAGGTCGAAGCGAGTGCTGCCAAGGCGTCGGCCGAGGTGTTTTCTCCTCGGGGAATGCGAGTGAGTTCGAACTCATCGAATTTTTGCACCAACTCTCGGACCACTTTGAGGTAAGCCCATTCGTTCATCCTTTGCCTCGTATTCTCCGTTGAACTGACATGCTACGAGCTGTGAATCGCAAAAGGTTCTTATCTTTTAAACTCCGATTCCCTGCGCTAGTCGTATGCCGGCGATCAGTGCTTCGTATTCTGCCTCGTTGTTCGAGGCGTGGAAGTTCAGGCGAAAAGACTGCTCCAATATTTCTCCGGTGGGAGAGGTGAGGCGGATTCCTATTCCCGAGCCGTGTTTTGACGACGAACCGTCGACGTGCAGCGTCCACACTTCGTCTAGAGTCGGCTCGTTTGTTGCTTCGGCGGGAAGTTCAGTGAGGAAATCTGCGAGCACCTGTGACTTTGCAGACGACCTGTTCCGATACTCGATGTCGTATTTGCTTAGCTCTATGGCCCACTTGGCGAGCCGACCGGATTGGCTAGGACTGTATAAGATCGAGTGCAGCGGAAGCATAGCGAGCACAACAATCGAATGTGATTGAAAGTAAGGGCGCAGTTTCCGAGCCGAGACTACGACGGCTAGGGCGACCTTCTCGATCTGGGGGTAGCGAGTCTCGACGTCGGTCAATGTCTGGCTGATGTAGAAAATGGGCTTTTGTTCGGATCGTTCTTCTCTGATAAGCACTCCGCTTACAGCTGTGGCAGACACTGCGATGTAGAGGAAGAGCGGCTCTCCTTCGACTGGTTTTGCTAAGATTGGTGGGCTCGCCAGATAGTTCTTCAATTCCTGGAAAGACGTCTCACATCGTTCGTCCCACTCAAATTTTTTGTTTCCTCGGAGGGTGTCGTAGAAGGGCAGGCATTTGTCTGTGGAACGAGAAATAAACCTGTTTAGCGCGGCGACTCTTCCTGTGAGCCTCTGCACTTCGCGCTTCGTCCTTGGAGAGGGCATCTCGATTAAAGCCTTGATCTACTTGGGTTTTGCTTCTATGCCTCGGTGAGTTACCAGATAGCCGAGGAATTCTCCCGAGGTGACCGCGAACCTGCACTTCGCCGGGTTTAGTTTCATGTTGTGCTTGTTCAATTGTTCGAAGCGTTCCCGTAGATGCGCGACGTGGTCTTCCTCCTTGAGTGATTTGACTAACATTTCGTCGATGTATACTTCCATGGTTTTTCCGAGCTGAGCCGCGAATATTTTATTGACGAGCCGTTGATACGTTGCTCCTGCGTTCTTGAGCCCGAACGGCATGACTTTGTAGCAGTATATCCCGCGATCAGTTATGAATGCCGTTTTTTCTCGATCATCCGGATGCATTAGGATCTGATTGTAGCCGGAGAACGCGTCCATAAATGTTAACAGTCTATTCCCTGCAGTGGCTTCGACGAGCCGGTCGATGTGTGGCAAGGGAAAGCTGTCTTTTGGGCACGCCTTGTTGAGGTCGGTGAAATCCACACATACTCGCCACTTGCTGTTCTTCTTCTTCACGACCACCGGATTTGCGAGCCAGTCCGGATATTTGGCATCGGCGATTGATCCTACTTTTAGTAACCTTTCGACTTCGTCGTTAACTGCTTTAGCTCGTTCGGGGCCGAGCTTCCTTCTTTTCTGCTTTACTGGTTTAAAGGTCGGATCCACATTCAGCTCGTGACAGGTCACGTCGATGCTTATGCCTGGCATGTCTTCTGCTGTCCAGGCGAAAGTGTTGATGTTTTCCTTGAGGAGGGAAAGGAGTTCGCTTCTCAGAGGCTCTTCCAATTTTGTTCCTATTTCGACGCATCGCTCCGGGCGCGCCTCATCTATACACATCGAGTCCACTGTGTCGCATACTGGCTCGACACGTGTTTCGCGGCTCTCCGCGATCTGTAATTGCTATAAGAGTTTCGAGAGCTCGTTCGCGGGCTCTCGGTCTGTCTTCATCTTTTTACGGTCGATGTCTGCTCGTGCGTCAGTGACGGGGTTCCTTAGCTTGTGCTCGGCTAGGCAGCACGTTCGTGACTCCTTCTGACTCCCCCAGATCGTTTTAATACCTGGTGGGGTTGGGAATTTGAGGCAGAGATGATAGGTAGAGGGTACCGCCCTCATCCCGTTGATCCATGGAGTTCCCATGATCACATTGTATATTGCTGGGTGATCGGTGACACAAAATGCGACGATCTTAGTGACTCCGCCAGCTACCACAAGAAGCCTCATCGTTCCCATAGTCATCGTCGTTTCTCCTGAAAATCCGGTTAGAGGTTTGGGGATTGCTTCCACCTCGGAGAGGTCGATTCCCATTCTTCTGAGTGTTTCCCTGAAGATGACGTTCACTGAGCTTCCAGTATCGATGAGCACCCTCGCTACGTCATGATCCCTGATCGTTAACTCAATCACCAACGGATTGTTATGAGGTCGATCGATTCCTACCGTTTCCTCCTCGGCGATGGAGATCACTGTGTTTGGGATGTCGGTTGGTTCTGTCCAATTCTCCTTCGCTTCGGCTCGGCGCTGATAGGCTTTGATGGAGGACACGGTATCTTGGTAGTATTGGGATCCACCCATGATCATATTGATCCTTTGCCTCGGCTCGGGTCGCTCTTCAGGTTCGCCTCTCCTATCGCGTTTGGGGTTATCGCCTCGTCGGGGAGGATTCGCGGGTTCCGCCGCGCCGCTCGGCTCGGCTCTCTCTTGTTGTTCGTTAGGAACGAGGTCTTTGAGGCTGACCGCGTTTTGGAGCTCTCCCGCTGCCATCTTTGCTGCGAGCTTTGCTCCTAAAGTTCGGCATTGAGCCGTTGAATGCCCGTAGGTCTGGTGATACTCGCAGAAAGCCTTCTCGTCGTAGTTGGCGGACTTTCTCATCCAAGTGTTGTTGCGCGGCTCTCCTCTTCCGCGTCCAGTGCCTATCTGGTAGTTATGGGCGCCTCCGCTTCTAGGTTCATCCGAGCCCTGCGTTGATGTGTTGCTCGATGGGTTGCCCTTCTTCGCGGGGCGCAGCAAAATTGAGCTTTGGATTGCTGCTTTCGTTGCTTCGTACTGCTCGTCCAAGTTTTTAATTTCCTCCTCGTTAACGACGAAGTCTGATGATCGGTGCAAAGTGTCTTGAATTGTTTGCGGCGTGTTGAGAGCCATCTCACGTCGGAACTCGGATTTGTACCACAAAGATCGTTTCAGAGCCTTGAGCGCAGCCTTGTCGCTTATCCCTTCTATTTTGGATACGACTGCCTTGAATCTTGCCATGTAATCCCGAAGCGGTTCGTTTGGTCCTTGGGATAGTGTCCACAGATCGGCATCAGATGTTCCTCTGTCCATAAACATCGAGTATTGCTTAAGGAACAAGGCGGAGAGCTGTTGAAAATTGCCGATTGAATTTCGTTCCTGCCTTGAAAACCACTCGAGTGCGGCTCCCTTGAGATGCTCCACGAAAAGCAGGCAGTATCCGGCGTCTACTTCGCGCTCGGTGAGTTTAGCGGCGTTCTTTGTGAAGGCTTGTCCCATTGCTATCCGAAACGCTGTGATGTGTGCTTTCGGGTCGGTTGTTCCTTCGTAGAATGGGATTCTCACCTTCCCCAGCTCGGGAATCCTGGCCTCCGTGATTCTTGCAGTGAATGGGGTTCTCTGAGTTTCTTCAAGCATTCGATCGATTTCAGGCGCGGCGCTTGTCGCGTTGTGCACTTGGGATTTCATGGCGCGTATTTCAGCTACTGTCCGAGCCATCGAGGCTCCCAGCTCTTTGAGTTCGAGAGTTTGTGCGTGAGTCATTCCCTTTGATTGGGGGGCGGGGGGTCGCTCCCGCTCCTCTCTCCTTGGCTCGTCTTCGCGCTCTGTCTGCTCGATCCATTGGAGGTTTTCTTCCTCCTCGGTTGGATTGTCGCCGCGGGTCGGATCGGAGACTTTGTCAGTTCGGATGCCGTTTAGTGCCGAGGCGAGCTCTTCTTTACTTCTTCGGCGATCGAGCCGGTTTGTTGCAGATCCGTGGTTCCGTCGTTCTGCTGGGCGTCTACGTCGATCGCATCGTTTTCTTCTTCGCCGGCTCATCGCCTCGAGTTTCGGTGGAGAGGGGGCGGCTCGGTCATGTTGACTCGGGTCGCCGCGGGGGTCTGTTCGTTGAGGAGACGAGACATTGGAGGAGCCGAGGGGTTTCTTGCACCGCTCCCTGAGGCTTCTGCATGTGTCGAGAAATCGAAGCGTCTCCGGATTCCATCCATCGGGTCGGGAATTCCGGCTCTCCAAGTTGGGTGCAGTCGCTCAACCGCCATCGCGTCGAGCCTCTCCGTAATCGCCTCGTTTCTTTTATCCTGTTCGTTGATTTTCTTCATCAATGCAGCCATCATGTTTCGCATCTCCTCTTGGGTTTCGATCGTTGCCGTCGTTGTGCCCGATGCATCCTTCTCCGCGCCGTTACCGGCGTTGTTGTTGTTGTTGTCGTCGGGGGTGTTGCTCGCCATGTTCTTCGGATCTTAAAGTCTTGTCGATTTTGAGTAAGAAAGTTTCGATTCCCCACAGACGGCGCCAAATTGTGTGAGCCAAAACTCGCACAACCAGAAATTTGTTTAAAGAAAACTAAGGGATCGGAAACTTCTAGGGTTTATCGTCAAGAACAGAAAGATCGAAAGAAAGTTTTTCTTGCTGTGAAAGTATTTAGCTCTTATTGCTTAAGGTTGCAAAAAGTTACAGAATGAATTGTGTACATCATCTATTTATACTAATTCTCTGAACCGCCTAGCCGAGAATCTCGGGAGAGATTTTCGGAATATTTCCTTATCGCCTCGTGCGGCTCACCGCCTTTGTATTTCGCCTAGGGTTTTTATGGGCTTCGTCTCTCAAGGCCTTGGTTCGGCCCATCTGAACTTCTCCATGGCTCGGCCCATCTAAACTTCTCCACGGCTCGGCCCATCTAACTTCTCCACGGCTCAGCACACTTGCCATTTGAGTCGAGACGTGATCTGGTCCACCTCACCGAGGCGCGGCTCGGCCCAGGCGTGTTGGAGAGGGGCTCGGCCCAGGCGTGTTGGAGAGGGGCTCGGCCCATTTCTTGCGATACGGCTCGGCTCATCTCTCTTTCCTCACGGCTCTCCCTACTGGTCTATCTTCACGGCTCTCCCACTTGGTGAGAACGGCTCTCCCACTTGGCGAGAACGGCTCTCCCACTTGTCTTAGTGAGAACGGCTCTCCCGCTTGTCTTTCTTCCATACTTAGTCATTTTGAGATGGTTTTATCTGCGTGGGGTGAAAACCGACCCCAACAGTTAACCGACCCCAACAGCCATCCCAACCTCCTACACGACGGTCAGATGCTTTTGACACCCCATGGTTTAGGCATATAGCGAATTACTTAGCTGAAGACATCGAACCTCCACCTTTCTTTGGCTATAAAAGATGAAATTCTTAAGGGAAGTTCGACACTATTTCTGGGATGAAATTTTTCTCTATAGGAGATGTGTAGATGGTTTATTCATAAGGTGTGTCGCCGAAGAAGAAATGGAAGGAATATTGTTTGGATGCCATAGTTCAGCATATGCAGGACATTTCACAACTTACAAATCAGTTTCCAAAGTCCTTCAAGCAATATTTTGGTGGCCTACTATGTTTAAAGACACGCACGCCTACATCTCGCGCTGCGATTCATGCCAACGAATGGGCAATATCAGTAAGAGGAATGAGATGCCTCAAAACTACATTCTCGAAGTTGAAATCTTTCCTAACTTCTTTTGGAAACCAATACATCTTAGTAGCGGTATAATATGTCTCTAAATGGGTAGAAGCAATCGCCAGCCCTACTAATGATGCAAAAGTGGTTATCAAGCTGTTTAAATCAATCATTTTCCCTCGCTTTGGAATTCCTCGAATTGTGATAAGCGATGGGGGATCCCATTTCATCAATAGAGTTTTCGAAAATCTGCTCAAGAAGAACGGGGTCACGCATAAAGTTTCATCTCCATATCACCCTCAGATAAGTGGACAAGTGGAAATCTGTAACAGAGAGATAAAGTCTATTCTGCAAAAGACAACCGGCGTCAATCATAAGGATTGGTCTGAAAAACTCGACAATGCACTTTGGGCCTATCAGAGAGCATACAAAACTCCTTTAGGGACCACGCTGTTCAATCTTGTATACGGGAAAGCATGTCATATTCCTGTAGAGCTCTAGTACAAAACACAATGGACTATTAAGGAAATGAACATGAACTTTAAAGCAGCTGGAGAAAGAAGAATGTTTCAAATGCACGAGTTAGAAGAAATCTGCCATAACATCTACAACAATTCCAAGATATACAAGGAGAAGACAAAGGTGTTTCACTACAAAAGGATCAGACATCGGTCCTTTGCTCCAAATGACAGAGTTATTCTTTTCAATTCTTGCCTTAAGCTTTCCCTAACTTCGAACACCAAAATGACAACAATATCATGAAGAACACCAAAAAACAGCAGAATACTTACCCAGAAACCCACTTGTATTCGGCAACAAGTGATAGTACTTGGTAACGAGTTGGTTTGTGTTGTTGTAAGACAAGCGGTTGGCTCTCTTTGTGTCTTGCTCTCTTGTACTTTTGTTGGTTACTTTTATTTGTTTTTTTGTAAGACTATGAATATGATGTCTTGTCTCTCTTCTACTCTTGTTTGTGTTGTTGAAGGAAAGACTTTGAACTGATTTTGACTCTTTTTCTTTCTTTGTCTTTTTAAACACACAATTTTAGAAATTTCTTTAATACTAGCCCCTGAAACATGTCAAAACATGCCAGAAAAAAAAATTTCTCAATACAAAAGAGACATATCTGAAAAAATATTCAGTCTGAAACATGCCAAAATACTAAGACTAACTCAAGCTAAAACACCAAACATGCTAATACTTAGCCAGAATCGAAATGCCTAAAAACCAACACATAACTGTTTTAGGTTAAGAAACTGTTTAGATAGAAAAGCCAAATCTTCCTTGTGACGCTTGAGAAGCTCTTCCTTGTGATGCTTGAGAAGCTCCTCCTTGTGAACCTTGAGAAACTCCTCCAAAAGAGGTTTGAGAAGCTCCTCCAAAAGAGGTTTGAGAAGCTCCTCCAAAAGATGTTTGAGAAGCGCCTCCTCGGGCTGATTCTCCCTAGAAAAAAGCCAAAAATTAAACCACAATTTAAGCAAAATACAAATCATGAAAGGGTGAGCAAATCAAACCTCTTTCCTTGGACGCCCTCTTGGTCGTTTGGCTGGAGGAGGTTCTGTTGGATTAGGACACCTTGTCTTGTTATGTCCCTCCTTTCTGCAGTTTGAGCATGTGCCAATTCAACCATGTCGTGTTAATTTGTTTGGATTAGATGAAGACTCTTGAGGACCTTTTCTCCTAGCTCGACCATGCGGTTTTCCACGGTTAAACCTTTATGGTAGTGGTAGAATAGGTAGTTGGCCTAACCTTCTCCATGCTTCCATACCTTGGACTGGCTTCATACCCTCAACATATAGTTGACGCCACTTGGAAGTCAAATAGTAATCGGAGACATAATCATTTAGATCTAACCTTGTGTTTGTGGTAACACACATACCATGCATACAAGTTGCCAATAGCCGTAGGCACAAGTTTTTTTCTCCATGTCAACGGTCCAAGCACACCCATGAAAGTCAATCTCATGTAGATTTCCTGTTGTCATGTATCTTATGCATTCTCGTGCTTTTTGGCTGTTGTTCTCAATCTCTCTGTCTGCTCTTGCCCTGAATCTTTTCTTCCACTTCTTGGTTAAAGCACTTCTCTTAGCGTTCCTCTCCATAACTTTCCTTCGTACTTCAGTCAAGAAATCAAGGATTGGTAGCCTCCTTGACTCCTTAACATTCCGGTTGAAAGATTCCGACAAGTTATTCAGATTGTCATTGCAACAAGATCCTACCTTGAAGAAAGCCCGAGTCCATGTCGTTGGCGCAGTCAATTGGAGTGAATTAAAAGCACCTAAGTTGTACTTTTTCAATGCTTCTAAGTTATCTCCTAATGTCTCAGGTCTGTAGCTTCTTGCTATTCTCCAGGACAAACGCTCAAGCTCGATGTCCTTATGAGTTTTCTTCCAATTTTCTAGAATGTGGCGAGAACACATCTTATGTTCAGCGTTAGGGAGCTCATCACGAACAGCGTTTAGCAAACCCTGTCACATAAACCAAACAAAATAAGAAACAATTACAAACAAGATAATAGGGAGTCCCAAAATAGAAAAAAAAAAGAGTAATACCCTATGCTTATCTGAGATGATCGTAATATCTTCTCCATCTTCAAGTCCCAAATCTTTTTTTAGAATCTGCACAAACCATAATCAATTTGGACCATCCTCTCCTTCAACCATGGCCCAAGCAATAGGAAAGATCCTATTATCCCCATCTCTACCAACTGCAGCTAACATTTGGCCAACACTGCATCTAATTCGATGATAGGTCTACAACACTGCTTCCTAGACTCTTTCAATGCAGCAAAACACACATAGAGACGATAGAATCTCTGTTTGCTTACAGGCACTGCTCCAGGAATTGTCTCAATTTCCATTGTTGAACCTTCATTAGATCTTCTTACATCTTCGTGATAATCCCAAAGTCGAGCAAAATGAGATTCATGAGACGCCCTCGTTTTAGCTGCATGTACAGACTTTGCTCTCCTACATTGAGCCAAAGTAACAATCATGTTGTATTCTCTCTTGATTTCATCGACCATCTCTTGTGACTTGATCTTCGTATTACGTCTCAGCCTTTCTTCATACAATTGACCAATAGTACCGCTCTTCAACAGCTTTGTCCTTTCCGACCTTACACAGATATGCTTATCTACAAAGACCTTGACCATTAGTTTGTTTCTGCCCCTTTCAAAAGATGAGTACACTCTCCAAGGACATTTTTCTTTCATCTAAACCAATCGTGTCTCTCTCTTCTTCACCAACAGTTTCTCTCTCGTTAACCCTAAGAAGCATAAACCCATTTAACAAACTTTCCCAAAACCTAAGTATACATTGTATAACACAAATTAGATTCTGGGTAAGAGACTTTCTAAATTACCTTTTAGGTTGAGGATTGATATCTGGG